GATGATGTCGATAGATCCAAATGGAGAGCAGTCGGTCGAAACACCAGAGTGCGAGTATGGGAAGGTTGGTGACTTGTGACAGACCATGGGTGATCTTTCGAATGTTGTCAATAGCGTACCAGATTCCAGCAAAGATGTGCAAGGCCATTGCCAAAGAATAGCTTCCATGGTTTGCGTAATGCGATCTGCTCAGAGGAACAAAGATGCAGAATATGACAATTATGATCATGAAACGGTAGATCTCGTCAGCCGTCAGATGAACGCCTGTGTGGTCGTTAAATGTCCAGCCCTGAACAGCTGCAGGATCCCAGAATTCCGACCAGTTCAGGTGGTCTGGATACTTGCTATAGTTGAACGTGCTCGGTGGATAATACTTCAGGTTTGTGCCGTCAATAAGGGGTGGAACGAAAATCACCAGTACATGGGCCAGAGATGGTATAGCCATCAAGAATACTCCAGCGAACGTGTGAATTCTTGAATGAACAGCACGGATTCCGTCCAGTGTAATCCAGTTTGGAGCGATCTCGCTGATGAAGTTTGGAAAGCACCACAGCATCGTGTAAAACATCAAGTTCTGAGAGGTAATGATCATACGTGCTGTGACACCCCACACGACATTAGTGATTGTCTCACCAATGTTTGTACCCCAAAGACGCTTGGGGAATTTTGCTGCTCGTCCAAGCACCACGTCACCTTTCAGAACAAATCGATCAACCACGCACAGTGTCGTCACGATCGTAAATACTATCCAAACTAAGGCTTCGTAAGAAATACTGAATGGCTTTCGGCTTCGTCTGATGGAGAGCTTCGAGCTCGGGGAAGAATACACTTGATCCTCAGGAATGTCAATGAAAAATCCCAGTGACTGCGCTGAGACTTTGTTGCTTCTAGAAGGTGGTCTTGATTTTTTATGGCAATCTTCCACTTTCTGCAATATAAAAATAATTAGCTGTCAGGGAACACAGTGAAATGAAGTATTTGCCCTTTTTGACTTTCGACTTTGACATTTGTTATAGCATCACAAATAACTTCCTTGGGCAAACACCTTTGGGGTTCTTAATAAATGGCTTCAATATAATTCATGATGATGTGATGTGAGGGATGAAATCTGCCGAAAACCACCAAAATTAATGTATCTTTTAAAAAAAAGGACCTATACTAGACTTATTTTGTTACTGTGAATCGATTCGTTTTGTCTAAATGACTTTTCTTTAGATTACTCTTAACATTGTTGTTACTACTTATAGCAAAACCTAACCCCGCCTTCGATGATGGGCCCACCTACGTGCTTGTGGTAACAGCATGGAAACTAAAAAGAGTTAAGTTACGTTGAAATTAATACAGTTTGTCACAACTAACCGCGATTAGCCGAATACTTAAGTTCAAATTCAGTTAGAACCATTCAAGACCTGGTCGAATATTTTGGACCACCCGATCAGTCATTACACAGGTAACCGTGATCTTGATTTGGAATGATTACATTGACGTCCAAACAATGAACAACAATGTGAAAAGTGAGGGAATGATATATAGTACCCACCTTCAAATCTTGTAGAAATTCTTGGCAATTAAAACCCGTCTCGTCTGTGTACATGTCCATGATGGCCTTAAAATACAATGTAATTTGTGTCAAAATACATTTCAAGGGTCTTGTGAAAGAGAACGTCTGACACAATTGACTGATGAACGCGGAAGAAGGAAAGGTATACAAATGCAATGGCTCTTGCCTCTCATGTTTAAAAGCTTTTCTAAGACCGGTATTTTAAGAAATGTTCACTAGCACTGAGAATTTTTTGTGAGCACTAACCTTTAATTCTCCCTTTTCGATGACCGCAGCAAGAAGCTGAAAGACGTCTTCTGCCTGCTTGTCAAATTTATGGTCATTTTGTCCATTCCTGTGAATGGAAAGTAAAAGGGAAATGGAAAAACGTATTCATGGTTGACAAGTGACAGTACTTGCAGCTGAGGCTGATATCAAATAGGCAACTGTCTCGACTTAAACCCCTCCCTCAAGTTCGGGAATTCTTTTAAGAAATAAACATTAAATAAAATAGTAAATCAACTTTGGCCTACCAGGAACGGTGAGAATATGCTTTAAAACTGTGTAGATGTAATTGCAATTTAATTGCAATGTAATTGTAACTATCAAAGCAAGTACCTTTTTGAATTCTGACTGGGCGCTTGGCACAGTAGATTCGAGAGGTCCATTTTACCCTTCATTAGCAGAGCAACTCTCTTTAGTAGCTCCGTCTTCTGAGGCTGCAAAGTGCTGTTCTGAGGCACAAAGGGTTCATCTGAAGCAAACAAAGAATGAGGTATCCTGAAACACTAGCTTAGCAGTTGCTAATTGATACTTTCATTAGAAATCATCATGATACACAACATAACCCCCGGAGGTATGAACGTTTTACAGTTCTAGTGTTTCCATTTGATTATCTATGTCAATATCTCTTTTAAACAGAGTTGAATGTCCCACCATCGCTTCGAGTAACCTTCTATAGCTCACTCAAAGATCATCTTCAGACCCACCTGCCGAAAGTCTCACGTTCGATCCCTTACAATCCTCTTTCCAAATATACCCTCTGTAATTACCTGACATCCTTCTTATTGTGACTTTATCTAAGTGTAACTTTTTGTCTTACCATCTTGTTTTTATTGCTTGCATTTTTTACAGAGAAAAAAGTAAATTCACCATAAGTTAGCCGAAGTATTAATCTTTCTTGTATAAAAATATTTTTTACTGCTTACGTTTTGTGTAGTTTGAGCTTAGTCAAGCTCAAAACTGACGGACAAACATTGTAAACAGAAAACCTCACCGAAAAGTTACAAAACTGAAATAAAAATATTTGCTAATCCTGGGTTAGCTTAATCGGGCTTTGAACAACCCGGCCCAGAACGTCAGAATAAGTTATTAAGTAAATCGTTGAAGAGAGAGAAATAGACCTTTTTAGCTTGGGCGGTTTGTTTTTGTGAATTCCTGCTTTCAAATTTTCAAATAGTCGCGTGCACATGAACGAATAATTGTTGGATAGTTATAAGAACAATTATCTAGAGAACATCACGTGGTCTGTACTCGGAAAGCAAATCGCCCAAGCTAAAATAATCAGCAATTTCTCCAAGGCAGACAATTTGAAAAAGACTGTTGGACTTTTTCAATTTGACATCACAACCTTGTGCATGGGTAACCCATTTTAACCGGTATCATTGACCGGTTTCCTTCATCAAAAGAATGTCTTTTGCGTTTTATGTTTCGACATTATGCTAATTTTTCCTCTGCTTAGCTTTCTTCTCAGGCCGCAGGAAAAAAGCAACGAAAATTAAAACACTACTCTTAACCCTTACACGACCAAATTTTCAAAAAAAATGCCGTTTTTAACCGCTAGCATGACGCTAAATGGGCCTTAGTTTTGCTGAAAAAGCTATTTTTTATCAAACAGATAGATTTCTGCAAGATTAAATACAAATGATGCAGAATATTTTAATTTTGTGCATGCGCATAAGCCAAAATTTGGACTTTCTGCGATTGCCCGTTCCGAATTTTTTTTTTTTTGCCCGTCTCCTTTCGTTTTTCTCGGCCCTTTTACTCTCGCTACCTTTTGCGTTTCATATTCTTTCTGGCTGCCGTAAAAAGTTGGGTATTAATTATGGGCAAAGCCTGGAAATGGCACCTTGATTAACTGTAGGTATAATGGGCCATTTTACCACCATTTTTGCACCATAATTAAATTGAATTTGGTACGTCAGAATGCTGTCGATATATCCATTTACATGTAAAATTTTGTCCCCGAATTATTATCAATTATTATCACATAGTTTATGAATGATAAAAGTGATGAAATCTTACCAGTCTCAGCATCGTGTAGAAACTTTGACCAGTTGAAACAATCAGGGCTGTTGTGTACGCAGTATTGGTTCTGTATTTCTTCCACCTGTTCATCCGTTAAGAGCTCTTCAAACACTTCCTTCAGAGCTTTGTTAAAGTCACTAGCACTGACATACCCTGTCCTCAGTAGGTCACAACCATGGAAAAAGTCCTCCTGCTTAAAATTAAGAATAAAAACAAATTATTTGATGCTCAACTCTTGATTGTCGGTGTTCTATTAACGATGGAATTGTGGTAAATTCCCTTCATTGACCCCAGACCACTTACACTGAGCCACTTACGCTGACTTATCAGACGGTAAGTAAAGAAAGAAGAAGTTCAGAAAGCCATTTGTTCATAATTTTTTTTCGCCTAACGGTTGTCATTTAGCTTACATTGACGACAAACTATACAACGGGTTTAATAAACCAGCCTGAGGGAACAAAATCATCGAAAACATATGACGCAGATTGGCGCAATACAAATTCATTCAAGAACAATATCCCTTTCTGATATCGCTGAGTCAGTGCTTATTTAACAGATCCTACTTCAAGACCAAATAGAGCCTAACACCATAAAACAGTCAATCAATCAATAACTTTATTTGAGGCCTACTACAAGGTGTCTATGAACTGGTCCAAAGAGTTAATCACTAATTAAGAGGATGGTCTACTTTAATGTAGTTTCAAGAACAGTCTTACCATAATCCCTCTTTCGCGAACAAATGTCCTGACTTTATCCATTAGTTCATCCAATGAAAGAAACACTGAAGCGTTGGATGATGTTTCCTCTGATGACCGCCTTCTGCAATGTCAGGTGGAATGTAAAAGCTGTTATAATATTCTTAAAACTAAAGTGTAAGACTGCAATTTCTATCAACTTTTGTGACATGTAGTGGGTTAGCAGCGAAAAAAAACTGAAAAGTTCAAGCTAGTCTAGCGACAGACGTATTAAATATAGAATGTCGTTAAATCAGATTTTTTTCGTTGATATTGCCTGTAGAAATTAATAGCGGTTAAGAGTACGAATCCATAGAAGGCACCTTCTTCTAAATCTTAAGTTATATTGGGTTGCAAGGAAATGTTCTTAAGCTGTTAAGTCAGTTGAAAGGGCCTTTTGGGTGTTAGACCGTGTTAGTTTTGTCCAAAATGACTATTAAAATTCAGCTGATTTTTGGCTCTTTGTCACTCTTCTTCAAGGCAAATGTCTTTAATTCGGCATGAAATCAAGTTTTCTTCTTCGAAGTAGTGGGCCTTATGGACACAAGCCATCCGTTCATGTTTAACCCTTTCTCGTCAATTTTAGACGGTTCCCCTAGAATTAACACTTTAAGTTACTATCCAGCCGCCTTAAGTGAGCTGAAATGAGCCTTTCTGTGCAATTTGAAGAAGAACGAATTTTTTTCGTCTGAAAACCCCTCAATATTACTTAAAGGCGATATTGACAACTAAAAACATAAATGAAGAACAATTTGCAGCGGACTGGTCTCTGAGCTTAGTCTCATAAAACAAATCAATACTTCACTATGAATAAGTTGTCACTTTATGTGAAAATTCAAATTAATAAGCCAACAAGCGAGCACATCGAGGCAAAGTGAACAAAAACTATACCTACCCTTCACTGCCTGACATGTCTGCAAGATCGATATATCCTGATAAAAAAGCAAATGTTACACGGTCAATGGATAGAAAAGACTGTTCACAGTCTTCTTGTTTTCTCAGTTGATCTTCGACAGCCTGACAAGAACCTACAGTGAACTTTGATCGTTTCACTTGATGTATCCTAACAAGACCTTGGGAATAGTCTATTAAAAGTAGATTATGAGCTCGTGATTTCTATCGCGCGATAGTTGAAGGGCGCAGCCCGAGTCAACTATCACGCATAGAAATCCAGAGAGAACAACCTTATTGTTTTAGTATAAATCCACTTGTCGTTCAAAACTTTATCTAAATCCTCTTCACAGACACTTCGAAAACGCCAAGAAGCGGCCTCCATTTTGTTAANGATGATGTCGATAGATCCAAATGGAGAGCAGTCGGTCGAAACACCAGAGTGCGAGTATGGGAAGGTTGGTGACTTGTGACAGACCATGGGTGATCTTTCGAATGTTGTCAATAGCGTACCAGATTCCAGCAAAGATGTGCAAGGCCATTGCCAAAGAATAGCTTCCATGGTTTGCGTAATGCGATCTGCTCAGAGGAACAAAGATGCAGAATATGACAATTATGATCATGAAACGGTAGATCTCGTCAGCCGTCAGATGAACGCCTGTGTGGTCGTTAAATGTCCAGCCCTGAACAGCTGCAGGATCCCAGAATTCCGACCAGTTCAGGTGGTCTGGATACTTGCTATAGTTGAACGTGCTCGGTGGATAATACTTCAGGTTTGTGCCGTCAATAAGGGGTGGAACGAAAATCACCAGTACATGGGCCAGAGATGGTATAGCCATCAAGAATACTCCAGCGAACGTGTGAATTCTTGAATGAACAGCACGGATTCCGTCCAGTGTAATCCAGTTTGGAGCGATCTCGCTGATGAAGTTTGGAAAGCACCACAGCATCGTGTAAAACATCAAGTTCTGAGAGGTAATGATCATACGTGCTGTGACACCCCACACGACATTAGTGATTGTCTCACCAATGTTTGTACCCCAAAGACGCTTGGGGAATTTTGCTGCTCGTCCAAGCACCACGTCACCTTTCAGAACAAATCGATCAACCACGCACAGTGTCGTCACGATCGTAAATACTATCCAAACTAAGGCTTCGTAAGAAATACTGAATGGCTTTCGGCTTCGTCTGATGGAGAGCTTCGAGCTCGGGGAAGAATACACTTGATCCTCAGGAATGTCAATGAAAAATCCCAGTGACTGCGCTGAGACTTTGTTGCTTCTAGAAGGTGGTCTTGATTTTTTATGGCAATCTTCCACTTTCTGCAATATAAAAATAATTAGCTGTCAGGGAACACAGTGAAATGAAGTATTTGCCCTTTTTGACTTTCGACTTTGACATTTGTTATAGCATCACAAATAACTTCCTTGGGCAAACACCTTTGGGGTTCTTAATAAATGGCTTCAATATAATTCATGATGATGTGATGTGAGGGATGAAATCTGCCGAAAACCACCAAAATTAATGTATCTTTTAAAAAAAAGGACCTATACTAGACTTATTTTGTTACTGTGAATCGATTCGTTTTGTCTAAATGACTTTTCTTTAGATTACTCTTAACATTGTTGTTACTACTTATAGCAAAACCTAACCCCGCCTTCGATGATGGGCCCACCTACGTGCTTGTGGTAACAGCATGGAAACTAAAAAGAGTTAAGTTACGTTGAAATTAATACAGTTTGTCACAACTAACCGCGATTAGCCGAATACTTAAGTTCAAATTCAGTTAGAACCATTCAAGACCTGGTCGAATATTTTGGACCACCCGATCAGTCATTACACAGGTAACCGTGATCTTGATTTGGAATGATTACATTGACGTCCAAACAATGAACAACAATGTGAAAAGTGAGGGAATGATATATAGTACCCACCTTCAAATCTTGTAGAAATTCTTGGCAATTAAAACCCGTCTCGTCTGTGTACATGTCCATGATGGCCTTAAAATACAATGTAATTTGTGTCAAAATACATTTCAAGGGTCTTGTGAAAGAGAACGTCTGACACAATTGACTGATGAACGCGGAAGAAGGAAAGGTATACAAATGCAATGGCTCTTGCCTCTCATGTTTAAAAGCTTTTCTAAGACCGGTATTTTAAGAAATGTTCACTAGCACTGAGAATTTTTTGTGAGCACTAACCTTTAATTCTCCCTTTTCGATGACCGCAGCAAGAAGCTGAAAGACGTCTTCTGCCTGCTTGTCAAATTTATGGTCATTTTGTCCATTCCTGTGAATGGAAAGTAAAAGGGAAATGGAAAAACGTATTCATGGTTGACAAGTGACAGTACTTGCAGCTGAGGCTGATATCAAATAGGCAACTGTCTCGACTTAAACCCCTCCCTCAAGTTCGGGAATTCTTTTAAGAAATAAACATTAAATAAAATAGTAAATCAACTTTGGCCTACCAGGAACGGTGAGAATATGCTTTAAAACTGTGTAGATGTAATTGCAATTTAATTGCAATGTAATTGTAACTATCAAAGCAAGTACCTTTTTGAATTCTGACTGGGCGCTTGGCACAGTAGATTCGAGAGGTCCATTTTACCCTTCATTAGCAGAGCAACTCTCTTTAGTAGCTCCGTCTTCTGAGGCTGCAAAGTGCTGTTCTGAGGCACAAAGGGTTCTTGTAAAGCAAACAAAAAATGAGGTGTCCTTTAACCCTAGCTTGGCAGTTGCTACTTTATACTATCATTAGATATCGTAAAGACATATAACACAACATACATAACATAACCCCCGGAGGTATGAACGTTTTACAGCTCTAGTGTTTCAATTTGATTATCTTTGTCAATATCTCTTTTAAACGGAGTTGAATGTCCTTCCATAGCTCCAAGTAGCTTTCTAAAGTTCACTGAAAGAGCATCTTACCCACGTGCCGAAAGTCACTCGTTGGATCCCTTGCAATTCTCTTTCCAAATACAGCCTCTGTAATTACCTGACATCTTTCTTATTGTGACTTCATCTAAGTGTAACATTTTGTCTCGCCATCTTGTTTTTATTGCTTGTCTTTTTACAGTGAAAAAAGTAAATACAACATAGGCCAGAAACAAAGTCAAAAGTAAATGAATGGATTGGTGAGTTCATACTAACCAACTCCTTTTGTGTCAAATTTGAAGGTAAACTTCTTATTAATTACTGGGTATTTCCTTAAATGTCATTTCTGAGAACTGTCTCCCAGTTCTTGATTTTCCCATTATCGTTAATATTTAGTTGGACCGTGTGTTCAGCGCGTTGTAAACAAAACGAGTACGAGATCTTGCTGAAGGAATTTTTGAACAGGCCATCTTGCAAAGAATAGGCGAAATGGACAAGTGGATGGAATGCTCCGCTTGCGAGTGAGCCTTGTCACCAGGTTCTCTCTCTCTCTCTTTTCCTTCTCTCAATTCAACAGTTAAAGCGTTTAAGAACACTATCATGGTGATTGGCTGCACTGGTTGTCAAAACGGTATCAAAATTAAAAAGAAAAAAGTACGTTCGCGTGCATGAAAAAACGCCTCTAGAAAGTCAGTACAAGATATTAAGTAAATCGTTGAAGGGAGAGAAATAGATCTTTTTACCTTGGGTGGTTTGTTCTTGAGAATTCTCGCTTTCAGACTTTCAAATAGTCGCGTGTACATGAACAAATAATTATTAGATGGATAAAAGAACAATTATCTAGAGAATATCACGTAGTCTGTACTCGGAAAGCAAATCGCCCAAGCTAAAATAATCAGTTTTTGAGCAATTTCTCCAAGGAAGACAATTTGCGAAAAAAATGCTGGACGTTTTCAATTTGACATCACAACCTTGTGCATGGGTAACCCATTTTAACCCTCCTCCCCGACCGTTTATAGCTTCAGTGCACTAGCTAGTATTAATTATTGAGATAATTACTGAGATCATTAACCGGTTTCCTTCATCAAAAGTATGCGTTTTGTTTCGAAATTATGCTAATTTTTCCGCTGCCTAGCTTTCTTCTCAGGCAGCAGGAAAAAAACAAGGAGAATTAAAATACTACTCTTAATTAAAATATGATACTCAACTCGATTTAAGTGTAAATTTTTTTCTCTGAGTTATTAGCAATTGTTATCAAATAGTTTATGAGAGATAAGAGTGACGAAATCTTACCAGTCTCAGCATCGTGCAAGAACTTTGACCAATTGAAGCAATTATCAGGGCTGTTGTGCACGCAGTATCGGTTCTGTATTTCTTCCACCTGTTCATCCGTTAAGAGCTCTTCAAACACTTCCTTCAGAGCTTTGTTAAAGTCACTAGCACTGACATACCCTGTCCTCAGTAGGTCACAACCATGGAAAAAGTCCTCCTGCTTAAAATTAAGAATAAAAACAAATTATTTGATGCTCAACTCTTGATTGTCGGTGTTCTATTAACGATGGAATTGTGGTAAATTCCCTTCATTGACCCCAGACCACTTACACTGAGCCACTTACGCTGACTTATCAGACGGTAAGTAAAGAAAGAAGAAGTTCAGAAAGCCATTTGTTCATAATTTTTTTTCGCCTAACGGTTGTCATTTAGCTTACATTGACGACAAACTATACAACGGGTTTAATAAACCAGCCTGAGGGAACAAAATCATCGAAAACATATGACGCAGATTGGCGCAATACAAATTCATTCAAGAACAATATCCCTTTCTGATATCGCTGAGTCAGTGCTTATTTAACAGATCCTACTTCAAGACCAAATAGAGCCTAACACCATAAAACAGTCAATCAATCAATAACTTTATTTGAGGCCTACTACAAGGTGTCTATGAACTGGTCCAAAGAGTTAATCACTAATTAAGAGGATGGTCTACTTTAATGTAGTTTCAAGAACAGTCTTACCATAATCCCTCTTTCGCGAACAAATGTCCTGACTTTATCCATTAGTTCATCCAATGAAAGAAACACTGAAGCGTTGGATGATGTTTCCTCTGATGACCGCCTTCTGCAATGTCAGGTGGAATGTAAAAGCTGTTATAATATTCTTAAAACTAAAGTGTAAGACTGCAATTTCTATCAACTTTTGTGACATGTAGTGGGTTAGCAGCGAAAAAAAACTGAAAAGTTCAAGCTAGTCTAGCGACAGACGTATTAAATATAGAATGTCGTTAAATCAGATTTTTTTCGTTGATATTGCCTGTAGAAATTAATAGCGGTTAAGAGTACGAATCCATAGAAGGCACCTTCTTCTAAATCTTAAGTTATATTGGGTTGCAAGGAAATGTTCTTAAGCTGTTAAGTCAGTTGAAAGGGCCTTTTGGGTGTTAGACCGTGTTAGTTTTGTCCAAAATGACTATTAAAATTCAGCTGATTTTTGGCTCTTTGTCACTCTTCTTCAAGGCAAATGTCTTTAATTCGGCATGAAATCAAGTTTTCTTCTTCGAAGTAGTGGGCCTTATGGACACAAGCCATCCGTTCATGTTTAACCCTTTCTCGTCAATTTTAGACGGTTCCCCTAGAATTAACACTTTAAGTTACTATCCAGCCGCCTTAAGTGAGCTGAAATGAGCCTTTCTGTGCAATTTGAAGAAGAACGAATTTTTTTCGTCTGAAAACCCCTCAATATTACTTAAAGGCGATATTGACAACTAAAAACATAAATGAAGAACAATTTGCAGCGGACTGGTCTCTGAGCTTAGTCTCATAAAACAAATCAATACTTCACTATGAATAAGTTGTCACTTTATGTGAAAATTCAAATTAATAAGCCAACAAGCGAGCACATCGAGGCAAAGTGAACAAAAACTATACCTACCCTTCACTGCCTGACATGTCTGCAAGATCGATATATCCTGATAAAAAAGCAAATGTTACACGGTCAATGGATAGAAAAGACTGTTCACAGTCTTCTTGTTTTCTCAGTTGATCTTCGACAGCCTGACAAGAACCTACAGTGAACTTTGATCGTTTCACTTGATGTATCCTAACAAGACCTTGGGAATAGTCTATTAAAAGTAGATTATGAGCTCGTGATTTCTATCGCGCGATAGTTGAAGGGCGCAGCCCGAGTCAACTATCACGCATAGAAATCCAGAGAGAACAACCTTATTGTTTTAGTATAAATCCACTTGTCGTTCAAAACTTTATCTAAATCCTCTTCACAGACACTTCGAAAACGCCAAGAAGCGGCCTCCATTTTGTTAACAAGGGTACACTGCTACGCTACTCACTATCTACAACAGAATAGATAGTGAGCAGCGTAGCCAATCAGAGAACGGCATTTGTGATAGACCGCTAGTAGATTTATACTAAAGAGGAATAGTGGATGTGCAATGAACTGTTTGAAGCAAACATACCGCTTTCCACTGACATGGTAATACAGGATAACTAAATGGTTCTGGCAAAATGAAATACTCTCTAGACCTGTGAAGAAAAAAACGCACAGTTACATGCGTACAAATGAAGTTGTCTTTTTTTTTTTTTCGGTTATTGCAGTTACATGTATATAGGCTATGCCGATTAATATATAAGAAAATAGTGCAGCCACGCGATTTGATATGCGATGAAGGGCTTCATTTTCAGTAAAGTTTGTATTTCTTGTGTTAAGGTTTATCTATTGATATCCTATTTACCATTGAAGCAAACTTAAAATGAACAACGTCTATATCTGATTTTTAACGCGGAAAACATCTCGTTACAGTTTTTTTTTTCTTTCATGTTTTTTTGCCTCATGTGGACTACAACTGGGCTGTCAGAGTTATTTTCTGCAGTACATTAACCGTGAGATGTTTTTATTCGTTTCACACGTTATTTGTTTTCTACAGAACGCAGGAGGATTAAAAAATTATTGCATTTTATGCGTTTGTTGCATGTCCTATGTAATTTGTATTCCGACAAAAAGGTTCCTGTGAAGATTAATTTCACTGAGGAGCTTGCATGGACTTCAACTAAAATGTCACATTACACTCAGCTTGTAATTTTGTTCATGCATTCCAGTCAAGCGTTTTAATACTTAATACTTAATCAATAAAATAACAAAACGCTTCCGTATCTAAAAAACAACTGAGCAAAACTTCCCATTTATAGCTGGATTCATTGAAAAAGATTCTTTCATATATCACCGCCAAAAGTAGAAGATTTACAAAATAAGGACATAAGCTCAGTAACAGATTACCCTAAATCAACTTATAATCAAGACCAATAAAGGTATTGTTTAAGTAGCTGTTAAGTGCTATTTATAACTTTGCACTTAAACTAAAAAATTTGTGCTTGAAAAAAAATCCGGAAAGCTAATTGTTATGACTTTTTGATAAGTATTACAAATGAAAAAGAAAACAACTAAAGAGATCGAAGCTAAATTTAGCATCCAGTCCAGTTCTGATTATTTTGGATTTTATTCTTGTTTCGACCTGCATTAAAAAGAGAAAGGAGCACCTCTAAAGTAGCGTGGCAAAGCCAATAAGCGAGAGACTTACATAACTTAAGGGTGCTTCACGTGACAGTGGCTTGCTCTGTTTGATGAATTAAGATCATCTAACTAAGCGTGGGGAAAAAATTCACGTGATCAAGAAGTGTTGAATCATATTTAGATATTTCCTCACCGTGGACACTGTTAGAGGCCTAGTTACGTATCTATTTGTCATAACGGGAACCCGATAATCATTACATGGTAAGACAGCTCTGGAGAACAGGAAAATGCTCCAAAACCCCTTCTGTAGCAAGTTCTTAAATCCATTAAGGACACGCTTTTCATCACAGTAATTTTTTTGTCTTTGGCGGCCATGTAAGGGTAGAACTTCAACCCCAGCCTCTTTCCCACTCGGAATTTCGATTGCGCGTGTCGAGATTTCCACAGAAAGAGAAAATGCTGACGGGCGGCGTTAACTTCTCACCTTATTTTTTAAAGTTCAATAGCATGGCCATGATCACAATACTGCGTGTTGTTAACAGTTTTAGTTTGTTGTTGTCCTCTTGCCGTCTCTGTACCAGGCCAGAATATATCACCCTCGAGAAATCACTCCGTGCGACAGGCGCGGCTCGAAAACTCATCGTAGGTACACTATGTCAGGGTGTGAACGTTGCCTCACCCTATTTGGCATCGCGTAAATCTTGAGGCCTATTCAGTTCCCCAACGAGGTAGAAAATACAGTCTAATCCGACTTTTCGAGCCTCCAAGGAAAATGAAAATTGGTTTAAAAAGGCGAGTAGTTCAAGAAATTGCATGGGGACAAAGTAAAATTACAGTGTTTGACTGAGAAGAGAAAAACGACTTTTGGCTCGACTTACCGAGAGTTTCGAAAATTCGAGGGTTCAAGAAATCGAGATTCCAAGGTAAACCACATTCAACAATTAAAGCGGACCTTACCTCGGTCAGTTCCGTCGTTGATACATTAGAAGATGCGTTATTAGCGTGCCATGATTACTTGGAGGAGTTCATGAGGGATAAGGCAACCAAAGTCGGCTGCCTGCTGCATAAGCATTCAAAAAAGTACTTATTTGTGAATTCTCAGGCAAAATAACCGAAGCAAATGGAATTTACAGTATATGTATATGGGTCGTTGACCAAGTGTGATGCCAAGATGGCTTAATATTGGCCAAGTGTTTTATAAACACGCAAAAAGAGAAGAGGCCAAGCAATATCCAGCCATCTTGACCGAACAAGCTTGGTCAATAAAGGATTTATTAAATGGGGTAAAAGACAATTATTTTCTTGCGGATTTAGGTCATGTTGCTCGCTCTTGGAGCTAGCCATATGATAGTGGCTTTTCACGGATAGAGATTTCAGTATTGATCTTTCGGATCTCGTATATTCCGTAATTAGCGCTCAAAATTCTTTTCGTAAGGTCACGCTTGATGCTCGCTTAAATTCGAAAATGTCCAATGCTGTTTCCGTTGCATATTACACGCCTTTCCCGCCTTTCACGCGTTTCTTTGTTTCTGATTGAAGGCACTGAAAGTAAGGCCCCTGCAGCTGACAGTGACAGCTGACATTTCACCTCGTTTTCACCCGATTTAGGTTCCCCGGTAGTCGGGGAATGCACCTTTTTTCACGGCTTCGCTATACAATGCGGGGGCTGAGCGGGGTTTTGGTGGGGATTTCAGATCGCGATCTCTTTTAGAAGACTTGGTTCAAGTTGCATGTTCGCAGAAAACATGGAGGATAAGCAACTGACGAAGAAGGTATGATTTCAATCGCTTAATATCATGTTTTTTCGGAGCCATCGACTTTTTCCTCTATTTTTCAATAGACTGCAAGAAAAGGAAGAAAACGAAGAGGAAGGGAAGAAAATAAGTAACCTTGACTTCAGTGGTGAAATCATGTGAAAGCTCCAGTCGTTAAAAAAAATTATAATCTATTTCATGATTTGCGCTTGATGTTTAGAGGGCGAGGGAGTTCACTCTGAATTTTTTTGCCCGCAATACGGGCTTTTTCTGCATTTCACTGACAGTAAAAGTGAATGCCCCGGGTATCCCTCTATGAGGGGCGGGGCGGGTGTTTCAAATGACTGGTGCATTACGACAGAACCGTCACGTCGGTGGAAATGGAATCCACCAGAAGTTCGAGTAACTTGAAGTGTACAAAAACTTTGTAACAAGAGTTTTTACATTGTATTGCAAACTTCTGTGCGACTGTTTTAAATACCTTCTCAAAAGAAATCATTTCTAACAACACCAAATGTCGAAAACCAATTTTAAGTTCATATGAAACGTGAAAGTACACGTGAAATGAGACTGATGATGAAATTTTACCTGTGTTCGCATAATCGGCTCTGAACTTTGAAATTAATTTCCTCGAGTTCCCCTGGGTAATTTGTTTTGGTGTTATTTCAGACGACCATTTTATATCTTGAGCTCATAGAAAACGCGAAAAGGACTGTAATATACTTAACATTATTCTGGTACTGGGTTTCTGTCCACTTAATACTGAAATTGCTCGATTTCCTATCGAATTTTGTCTTAACACTTGCAGGACAATATTTCCTGTGTCACTTCACGGGCCCGCTTTGCTGACCCTCAGTAAGCTGGATATTTAACTCATCCTCGATTGTGAAAACAGATTTATTCCCTTATCTCTCTGATCAGTTAACGCCTTTTTTCCGCCAAGATCATCAGGTCTTTCATCCTATCAGCTTTCTTGATTAACTGCCACTAGTAATGAATAAGTCACTTGAACGATGAACACTTACGTAAGACCAGCCGAGGAATGAGCAGAAAGCTTAAACATCTAGGTACAAAAGTATTATTTCCTCAGCTGGCAAAAAAATACTCAAGTGTTATGAGTTTCTGTATTTGAAACTCAGTAGCTGAAAAGCAAAGGTCAAATGAACGCGGAAATTTTCAAATCGACCCCAGAATTCAACAATAGTGTGTTACGTAGTCTAACTGTTCTTGTTTCAGTTAATTTCCGAAGTATTTTTAAAAGTGAAAGTCAAAGTGAAATGCTGTTGTAAACTCGGTGCTCGATATTTTCGCAAAATGTTTTTTTAATGACTGTTTAGTACAGGTCAAAACAATCGGCTGTGTTCGCTTGGCTTTTGGAAACAGAGACGAGCTGTTGCAAAAGCTGATGAACAATCGAGGAATGAGTGTGAAACATAACTTACAATTAAATTTCCGTTTTAGCTCTCCGGGAAGTGAATTTTGAAAGCTAATTTAATCTTCAACTCCGTTATGATATCCTATAGTTCCAAATGCAATCTGTATCTTGAAATGAATTACCGAAAAACGTGAAAACCAATGTTTGCGACCCATGTTTCATAAACACTGACCTGCAAGTTTGTAAGTTAAGCGGCGTAAATTTTCTTACTTTCCTTTTAACTTTCCTTGTTCTATAGCTGGCGTTTTTTGCGCTACAGCGCGCCCATTCATTTGCTAGTGAGATTCTCGGGAAACAAAATTCACTGTTCTCCTCTGGACCAGTCATTATAGCTTTAATACAGATCCTGAGAATTTGGTCAGTATTTTGTACAATATCTGTGACCTCTTGCTAGCTCTCTTATTGAAGCGAAGGCAAACTTTTAATCGCTGCAATTTTTTTTTCCGTGTTTAAAAGTGATTGTGTGCGTTGGGTAAGTGAAAATTCCATCGGCCGTTTTTCAGTTTTTCAAGCAGTTTTTCAGGCGAGTCTAAGTAAAAATATCATACTAGCTGAATCAAGAGCTTGAATTGATGGTTTTTGATAGATTGACACTAACTTCACTTGTTCATTTAAGAAGAACAACACACCCACAAAATGTGTTCATGACTGTTTCACACTCGGCACTTACCTTTCTTTAGGGAAGTTTTGAGACTTCACTGCTAAGGGTGGGTTAAACTGCTAAAGAGCTGTTCTGACAAAGTGATCCAAGGATTGACTAGTACATGTTTTATAG